GCAAGAAAAAGAGTGGAACCAAGAAAAAAAACAAGAAAGCAAAAAAGAAAGCAGGAAGAAAGAGAAGTACCAAGCAAAAGAAGGAAACGGATGAACAGAAACAGAAACGCGTGAAGAAGGAAGAGGCAAAGGCAAAGAAAAAGGAAGAAAGAAACAAACAAAAGGAAAAGCAAAAGGAAGAACGTGAGAAGTTTAAAGAAAAGGTGAAAGATGCAAAGAAGGCAAGAAATGTGAAGTATGTGAAGTGTTCTTCAAATTTGTTTCTTTGGTCAAATCATCTAACCTTGTAATCTATCTAGCCTTGGCTTTGTGCTAGGTGGTCAACTCGCTTACCAGCAAGATCAACGATGTGCGTGCGCGAGAAGAGCGTGTGAAAAAACTGCCACTTATCCTAGCTTATATATGACACAACCCTGAACCCATCTTGGCCATGTTCGACCTAGTATGATGCGTGTAAATCTCAGCTAGCTGAGGAGTGCTGACATGCAGGGGCCCATGCAGAAAAACTTGGACAAACAACGGTCTTCTTTGCAGAGTGTCAGGGATGCGCTACAAAAGGGTATTGAAAGTTTTGAGGCAGGTTTGATACCAACCACATATTTCTATATTAAGTAATATTGTGTTTTTTCTGCAATTCATTCTATCGATGCAACCCGATGCTATCGGATCCAACGGCTGTGCAGGAGAGCCGCGTCAAGAAGCTGCAGGCGGATGGTGAGAAAGTGCTCGATAAGTACCAAGATTTTTTGGACAGCCTAAAGGTGTGAGCTGGTCGGGATTTACCTGGCCATGGCTGTTTTTGCCTTTTAGAACCTGCTCCTTGAATCCTTGAGTCAAAGCACACAAACACCTTTCGTTCCTAGATAGATCAACCTTCCAATCTTGGTTCACTTGGTCCGAACATCAGGGGTGGGTAGAGGCAGCAGCTTCTTTTGTGTGGGTCACACTGTGACCACTTCTTTTCCAGCGCTAGTTCGTGTCAAGAACAGCCATGTCGACACTGTGCATTGCAATAGTACTTCATAGATTTGGTTATCTTTGGTTCTTCCAACCAATCTTGCCAATTTGATAGGTGGATGCACTGAGTACTAGTGTTGACTGGCTGTCAGTGGGGACCGCAAAATATATAAATTTTGCGATGGACAGGGCCCACGCTGCAATAGACTCTGCAGGTGTGCCTGGGTTTGATCACTAGATCGTGACTAGAAGACCGACCGCCAGAAAGCCGAAACAAATGTAGTTGTGGCCATTGTATAGCGGCATTTTTTAGATTCCAGATATACCAGTATACAGGGACACCCACGCAGGTCCAGTCTCCCAGCCAGTGGAGCCCGCCTTCTTCAACAACGTACTTGATGACATACAAGCAGGAGTGACTTAGCATATATAGTTCAATCGAAGAAATGAATGCTTTGTCCAATTGGCTCATATATAACTATATAACTTGTTTCCATCATAAAAGCCCTCATCCGATCTGGGTTTAGTCCAGGTGACAAGTGCAAAAGCTGCTTTGAAGAGCGCAAGGGCCCACGTCAAGGCGCGCAATACGAGGGCCATCGCGAGGGCCATCGCAATTGGAGCGGTAGTTTTTTTGGGGGGCATGCATGACAGCAGTGTGCATTCGCATGCATGCATCCATGCATGCAGGAAAGCAAAGAATTTTGCCACCCTAAATCGTTACGCTTGGGAACTAAAGCTCCTGGCAACGAAGCTCGTGATCTTGAACGAGCTACCAGAATCAACTTGGAACCTGGGCCAAACAATTGGATTATGTTGGATTCTCCCATACATATAGTTCCTCCATACTTTCTCACCTACCACGAGGTCCATCCTAGCTGGTTCTTCTTGATCAGCTGGATCCGAGTAGTTTGAACAGGGTAAAAATGCATTCGCTGCTGTCTATTGTTGCGGGGCCCTGTTGTAGAGTGAGAACCGTCCTTTTTGGGGGATCCACCTAGGATGTGACGACTATTCGGGCGCCTGTGAAGACTGGGGAAAAGTCTTTTGCGTGGACCGACCTGCAAATGTATGACCCACACAACATCGTGCGTTTTCTATTTGGACCTGATGTTGGCATGGTGATTCAATCAGCTTTGGTCGAAAGGTTCTGGCACTTGGAACGAGATGTTGAAAAAGAAGATTGGGCTGTAGCCCACCCTGCCGAGAAAACACATATCCCCATAGCCTTGTATGGGGATTCCGCACAGCTCTACCCAAATCAGAACGTGAAGGTGCTTGGGCTGTTCATCAGTTTTCCATTGTGGCGATGCTTATCGAATCGATGCTCGCGATGGTGTATATTTGCCATCGAGGAATCCAAACTTTGGAAAACAGATACATTAGACGCAGTGCTGCGACGGGTGACATACAGCATGAATCTCTGCTTCGACGGACTCGATCCAACCGACAATTTTGTTTTTCCTTACAAATTTGCGATGACTGAACTTCGGGGTGATTGGCTCTTTATGAGGCAGGTTTTTGCTTGGGCCTCCTCCTGGACATCTCCCACTACTACATGCTTTCGATGTACTGCGCGGGGTGGGTGGCGAGGTGATGGAAGTGAAGTTTTTTACAACCATTGGGACGATACTCCCAATTGGCATCACTACAACACTGCAGAGTTCATTAATGACCAGCTTGGGGGGAGGCGAAGTCCCTGTCCCTAGACTTAATGCATGGTTGAATTATGTTGAACTATATAACTGATGATTTTGTTTTGAATTCTGGTGGGGGAAGTGGTACAGTCTTATTGGAAGTTTCTCTGGTACCCTGTTGGCTGAGGCCCCCTAATCCTCGTCAAAGGCTTTCACCCGCAGCTGATACAAATATGTTCCATGCATGTTCTCAACCTTGGACTGGCCTACGATCTAAATGGCTGCTCAATGTCCCATGGTCAATATATCGATCGACAACAGTTTTTTGTTGGCGTGGTAGGTACTGTTTCTTTTAAATACATGGTCCCTAGATCTGAGCTCAGCTCACATGCATGAGGGCATTTCTACAACGGTGTGGCTATTTTGGTGATGGTGGAGGTGATGACGATGTTGTTCGAGGTCAGCTGAATGAAGCATACCATGTTTTCAAGGAATGGTGCAGGGCAAACAAAATCTACTGCAGTCAACCACGTTTCCGAGCTGGGATGGTCTCTTGGATCGACTCGGCCTGTTTATTTTTTTGTGACCCTACTATACTACCACGTTTTACGACGTTTTATGTGTGCACGTGTATGCCTTTTGATGTCATTGTTTGTTGGGGCCTGCGCTAGCCGCTAGCAGCTGAGATTTACAAAAAAGATGGATCAACGATGTTCACGGCAAAGGGTTGGAACTCGAGGATACTCACCCAATTCTTTCACCATTGCTTGCAAGATGCAGAGCAGCAGCAGAATGTTTACCCTGATCAATATGGTGAGTTGCCTTTGCTTAGCTCCTGTGCGACTCTTGATTGATTTCAATATATTGTCCATTTACCGTTTCCCACAACGTCAACTTGACCCTAGGATTTCAACCGATTCCAACCATCGTTGATTTAGTATAGCCTTTGTTGCCGAACAGCAATTTTACACTAGCTAGCTAGTACTTCTTGTATACGAGCTTAGGACAGCTTTGGCCCGGTTCTATTGGCTACAGGAGGCAGGTGGGCGCTTCTACACTCCCTCGCAGAGACAAGAGGTGTATGAATCCGCCCGGAAATTTGTGTCTCGATTTGTGGCTCTTGCAAGACTTGGAATCAGGCCGGCCTGGGTTGTACATGAACCATTGGGATCACCAAAAAATGATAGGCGTTAGATGGCGTTAGGCTTGTTGAACCGTCGATGGATGAGTGCATGAGTTAATGAGTGTGTGGATGATCGAGTTGTGCGAGGCAAAAAAGGGATATCTTCCGAGTGCGTGGCAAGCTGCATGTGCTTTGGCAGCGCTACAGCGTTTTTTCTGCTAGCTTCTGTTTTGTCTGCTTAATCGCAGCGATCCTAGTCAGAGTCAGTTCGACCCTGCGTGTGATAACTAAGTTGATGCTCCACTTGGCGGAGGACGCCAAGAAATGGGGGCGGAATGGACGCTTTCATCACACTTTTTCTGATGAGGATTCCATGGGCTGGTTGAAGTGCAACTTGACACAAAGGCTATAGGTGTTCGTTTTGGGCCTCCATGACATGGTCCCGACATGTCCCGACGATTCATCGTATTTTTATTGTAACAGTTCATTGATCTAAGGCATATGTCGTCGAGCTGGTGGCCGAGCAAAAACTAGAGGCCCATTTGTATTGCGAATGACGAGGATCCGGCTTTACTTCATGAAGACCAAAATGAATCTGCTGCTCAGCGTTTTTGAATTGTATGATGATGGCTGTATGGTGGCCTTGTTTGTAGGATAATAAGTAAATTGATTTTCTACATCTCGATATGTTGGTTCCCGGCTAAGGCTGAACAAGCAGGCCAAGAAGCGCGCTTTGAAGCAACTGAAGTGACACTAGCGGTGGACCAAAAAGGAATGGAACAGGGATGGGCGAGGAGCTGTGTTCCTGACCCAGTGGAAGAACATGACTTCAGGAGGTATCCTGAAGGCCTTTGGAGAGGCTTCCTGGAAAACCCTCTAAACCGTCCAGGCTGACCCAAAACCGTCTAGCTGGCTCGACTGTTCTTTAAACCGTCTTTGGAGTCTCTGGGTTTCAGATACTTTGCTTTTCACATAGCTGATCTGAGTGGTCTCATATATATAATTCATCATGATTCATAACATGATTCATAACATGATCTGTTGATTTGCAACCCACTGACTCATTGTGTTTCTTTGCTTCGTTGGAAGCTGTCCACTCAACGGAAAGCCCACTCGTCCCGATCTCGCTTGCCCGGCAGGGGGGCGGTCGGAGCCGGTCGGTCCAGAGGGTGCCAGCATTCCTAAACCAGATGGTTGCTATGTGGAGGCCATCGCAAGTAGCTTGGAGGCTATCGCTAACGAGTAACCAGAAGCTACTACAGTCTGTAGTAGTTCCAAACCAGGCGATTTGCTGCTGGCCTGCGGCTGCGTGGACGCACATGCCACGCTCTGGAGGCTGGCGAAAGGCAAGAGTCGGTTCCTTGGATTTCGCGACCAATGAGGTGGTTGGTTTGGGTGGTTGGTAAACAGCTGGGTTTCAGAGCGAATTCAGAAGACTTGGCCAAAAAATGGTTGGGTCGGCATGAGCTATTGTTCGTGCAGTAGATGGACATCATCTATGTTTTCTACTATAGCTACTATATTGCCTTAGAGCTGAAAAGACTGTGGAATGGACAGAGAAAATCACAGGATTCTCATGCCACCCCAGCAGAACCTATATAGACCTGCAAGGCTTCCAGTTCTCATGCAGGTGCAAGCCCAACACTACATATCAACATGTTAGATCATGTTAGTAGAATAGTCAGAATAGTCATGTAGATATCTACAATTATCTACCTGTCAGTATTTCAGTCATGACTTATATCGTATTAATCTCCAACCAAACTTTAATGAAGAGTCAACTCTGTTCCTCTGCCAGAGACCTAAAACGCTTCAAAGCGATTCCAAGAAAACATTCTGCAGTCGACTGGCACACGCGACGTGCTAAGCACCGTGCTGGCACACTCAAGAGTGATGGAGCTAAGGAAGGGCACAGGGATTGAGTTCAGCCCAAGTTTTTTGCTGCGATTCCCGGCTGGTGATCAAGACGTTCGTGCGATCAGCCTCAGTGCTTCTGGAGATTTGCTGGCAGCAGGTAGATCTGCCTGCATCGGATGTGGTTGGATGTGGGCAATCTAACGGGCCAAGCATTCAGATGGTGGTCTTCGTATTCCTGGTTGGTGGGGTGTGTGGCAGGGTTTTCCTTGCAGTCGGGAAGAGGCTTTGATTTTAACTCATTCTACTGTTTGTTCTACTCATTTTTTGGGGGGTTACCCTTGTGAGTAAAGGAGGTTTAAATGCGACGATCCTCAAATCCACAAGCAAACAGGTGTTGTAAGATGTCAATCACAGATATTATGTAAACATGCAAGTATCATGTAAAGATGATGTTGTGTTATCTTGGATTGTCATCATGATTCCAGCATTCAAAATCGCTGAATTTGACCACATGGGAAAGCAAAAAGTGTCTTCCATCTTCACTGTGTTGACACACGTGTTGAAGCTCGTGTTGAAGCTCCAGCCCAGTTGGCGCCAACGTCGTGTAACCATCCAACGGTGTGGATCTTTGGAACGTGTCTGGCGGTGGACCATGGCACCAGGTGGACCGGACTGGTTGGGGGTGTCACGACCCAACACAGGGCCGCCCATAATGGCCGACATGATCCACCGGCAGGTGGGAGGTATGGCGGAGACCAATTCGAACGTAGACCAATTCGATCGTGGACTCAACGGTTGCCAATTAATTTAGGAACATTCCTTTAAAAGTACTGTATCAGTAGCACAGTGCCATAGTATTTTTTTTTTAAATGTATTTTGCTTGAGCATGGTAACCCTTGATAATATATATAGGGTATATATGTCAGCTGCTGTTCGTTTGACCCATGGAAAAAAGGGATTTCAGGTTCGCACCGAGATCGCAGATGTATATAGATACGGAAAACACACACGATCGGATTTTGCGAGGCAACGATGATACCAGGATGCGTTTGTGGAAGATCCAGCCAAAGAAAGCAGAGATCTCAATAGAGCCCCTTTGCACAGCTGGTCTGCACACAGACTGGATTCATTCAGCAACTTGGCGTTTGGAGGCTAGTGTCAACTCATCAGGCTGCGAAACAAAACGGGGCGACCTTGGTTGACCACCCGAAATGAACAAAAGAGACCATCAGGTAGTGTCAAGCTTCCATAGTTTGGTGTGCAAAGTTTGGACCCACTGCCTTCCAATGTTTGGTTTAGCTTCTGCATTTTGATGGCCGTTGAGGTCACGGCTTGTTTAGTTTCCCTTTCTCCCTGTTTCTTCCAAGGAACAGGCACAGACACAGATCCTGGACCTTTATCCTACAGGCTCAATGATCAAGATGTTTTTTCACAACACCTAGGCAAGGACTGAGACTAAGAGAAGGAAAGAAAAAACGGGGCCATTTTTTGCTTCAGACAACCCACCACAGTTCGACACACATGTATTTAAAATTTATAATATTAATATGATTATTGGCATGTGCGGAATCAGCTCCGCCGCTGGGGCCTGAGGTGAGCACGGCCGATGGGTCGCTGGTGGCCTCCGGCGCGGACGACAACTCCATCGCTCTCTACGTGGCTCGGCTGGGCGAGGAACGGCCTGGATGGTGTTCTCGGAATGGCCCTGAGGTGGGGTCTGGAAAAGGGACCACCAAAGCAACAGATCGATCAGGTTGTTTTGCGGTATTTCATTTTTTAAAGGCTGACTCGATATAGCATGATATAGCAAGATAGCAGCGCTATCATTCTTCCATGCTTTAATGACCTTAATGCCTTAATGCTTCCGAGGGGGTTTGGGAGAGGGGTCAACCATGCCTCAGTTTCCAAGGGCCCAGTGTTGACGTGTGCAAAGAAGGCTAGGCAGAGGTGCAACCCCAGCTTGGGCAGCAACAGATGCCAGGTAGAGGGTGATGCAATAGACAATCAGGGTGATGCAATAGACAACTGGAACATACCAAAAACATGGCACTCTAAGCCTATCAGGGCCATCCTGTCTGTGTGCTACCCAGCCTCCCACCACTCCCGCCGTCCCTCCCATCGAGGACGTTCAGGCGCAACGCCTGGTGGGTCGCGTTCGGATCTTCTCGGGTGCCTTCTGCGCCCCTCGGCGGTCCAATTGAGATTGAATTTCCTGTGTGGAAGTTATTTGTCATCAGTTTAGTTAAGCGACTTCCCACAAAGCCTGAACTGGAAACGGCAGTGTCTCAATCTGCTTTGTCTTTGTTGTTGTTGTTGTTGTTGTTTAACGACGTGTGCTTCCTAGGATGTGGAACACACGCGGAAGCCATGCTTCCAGGCCCTATGCTTCGAGGTCTGTTTAACAGGTCATAAAGAGACGGAGTAGGTGTTCCTTTTGATATTTTTTAACCGTTGGAAAGGCCCGGTGATCAGGGGAGCCAGGTTTAAGGTTTATGTCGGGACACTTTCTCCTGCTTCAGCAATAATGCAGCCACACAAGAATGAGTACGCTGTACTCAGAAGCTGCTACGTATACCCTATACGGCCTAGGTGAACCCAGGAACAAACCAGGCGTAGCAGTCGCATGAAACAGCGTTGACAGTTGTTCAAGCAGCAACAGCGTTGCAGTCGCAGGTCTCGGATCAACACGCAGTTTTCTGTCGCAAGTACTGGTCTCGTTGCAGCAGAGACGAGCAGTTAGCAGTTTCTGATCATGTGTCAACGTTTGTGTCAACCTGATTCTTCCGGGTCTTCAAAAGATTAGGGAGCATCAAGGACTGATGACACCATAATTGGTTCATTAGGTGGTTAAGGTTATTGAATGAACATCCACCTAATCCATGAGCATCCAAGCTCTGGAAAGGCCACAAACCACCATAATTCGCAGAAGAACTGATGGACATCAATCTTCAAGGAAATCGGAGAGGAATGTTGATGACCACCACCTGAAGCTAAAGTGTCAACTATGCAAACCCCCACCTTTGGCCCCTCCTCCCAAACAAGAAGAAGCAGATAGCCTTAAAACTTGCACCGCGTGAAAGCCAAGCTGGTCAACATGCGAATTCTTTTTGAGGTAGAAACACCATCAGAAAAACATGAATTCTCGAAGCCCTCCGAAGAAAAAGTGTGTGCCATGAGTTGTACATTGTAGATCGTTTACATCTTGTTTGCTCTACATAAATGTATATATAATATATTATTCTTTTGTACATGAGCGCCGCCTGGCTTTGACTTTATAGCACATTTGTTTGCATGATTAGTGAGTGATTGTACTATACTTTTGCTTCTACTGTTTACAATCTATAGGTTATGTTTGCTTGAAGTTGTTTTCTTTGTTCAACGCACTTTCTACAATGCTTTTACGGTTCTGTACATGCAAACACCTGTTTCCTATGTGCACATGTGCGTGCGTGGTGTGTTGTCGATTTATATGGGTAATAAATAAACCTGTTTCCTCCATTGCTCCTACACCGTCATGTTTCATATTTTGACATGGCTTTTGAGACATATTGTAGTTTCATGTCGACCAACTACGTTGATTTTGTTTCTGAACAGAGACATTCAAGCTGTTCGTCGCCAAGAAAATACGCTGACACCTTTTCAGTTCTCATATTTAGTAGCCGCAGCCAATTTGATTTCAATTGAGTGGTAGCCCACGCGAAGACGCGAAGAGAGACGCGAAGAGAACAAACCAAGACTTGGCATGGAAGGCTTCTGTGCATTGCTTCAATTGCGCCCGCATTCTATTCGCTTTCCGCGAACCGCGGGGACACCATCACCATCCACCATCGCTTTTGAAGCGTTTGAATTGAAGCGAGTTGTTGCAGAACGACGCCCGTATATTGTACTCTTCATTAATGCATTTGCCCGGCCTCAAGCATATCAGTGCTCCATGCAGGTCGTGAAGAATAACAATAGGAAGAATAACTACAGTAACATATACTAAAGCACAACAAGAAAAACAGTGGTTCCTTTTAGGGATTTGTGGACTTTCCAGAGATATGACACCTTCCAGTGTCAGATAGCTGCGCTCTCACAGTCCCCCGCTCGAGGTTGATGCTGTAGGTAACTGCGGAGAAAGACCATGTCTATTTGGAGGCAGCTTTTGATTCCTCGGGAGCACGTTTGTCTTAGCTTTTTTTCCCCGTTCCAAGGTAGTGCTCTCACCCAACGGCCACTGGCTTTTCTCCGCAAGTGGAGACATCCGAGTATGGAGCGTGCCCAAGATGATCCAAGAAACACACAAGATGCTTGGCCTTCCATACCTGCCATGTGGGACTGTCAGTGGAAGAGAGAAGACAAAAAGATGCCACCCGCCCAAATAGGACAACATTGAGAGGGAAATCCATGCATGAGGCTTTGTACTTTAGTGTTTGTGCAGGGTGAAAGCAGACGTGCTGTGATCTAGCATTTCATTCATGTCTTAATATTAATCCATATTCCAATCAGAGTTATGGAATACACTGATGCAAGTCATTAGGTACTGCTCACCCAACATGTGAGAGTTCCTACATTCCATCCAAGCTGGACCCGCAAAAAGGTGTTTCTTAGCCATCAATTGAGTGTATATCGGTGAATCCATTTCACGACTCAACTCAACACCTGCAATCAGTTGCATCCCCATCTCTGGCCTTGCCGATGTCACAAAAACGTCCGACAAACCCCGATACTTGCCATGTCTACACCACACAAACCCAATCTAACCCATAGAGCGACTTGACCTGAGATGCCCATCCAATACATATGAGCAACCACTTTTATTGAGGCTTTACATGGCTTTACTGAAGTAGTCTACTACAGCCCTACATAAACAAGATACTGTTGTTTGATGACACTAAAGTAGTCTGAACGAGATAGTGTGATTTGCTACTAAAGTAGTTTGAACGAGATACTGTGACATGACCTCCTACTTAAGTCAGTCACAACATCTTGCGAACCAATGGTGTGCCACCCATGACATCCATGAATCTTGCGACTTCCAAAGGAACTTCCTCCCGCCCCAGGAGTCGCACCGCCTTCCGCCGCCACGTGGTGCCCATCAGCGCCTTGGCCATGCGCCGCGACGGCCGCGAGGCGCTGGCGGTGTCGGGCGACGTGGATGAGACAGGAACGCCCAACGGCGGGCTGCAGCTGAGCCGCTGGGAGACTTGGAAGGGCTGGAGGGCGCCTGGGCGCGGGATGGGGCCCGGAATGGGGCTGGACCGGGGCGGCGGGGTTGAAGATGGAATGAAGGAATGGTCCATCTAACTGTTCGTGGGAAGGATGGGGGATGGGTGCCGTGATGGTCATTTAGGCCTTCCTTCGTGGAAAGATGGACTGTTTTTGGTGGGCTCGATTTGGGGTTTGGCCCGTTTTAAGAAGACAGTTGACCCACTGATAGACACACTCGGCCGTCAACTTTGGTTAACTTTAAACGCCCTGGAATGTTCTGCAACTGTTGAAAATTATTCGTTATACTAGGTGGTGTACATCCTGCGCCGCACTCAGTGCGACAGAAACCTGGCCTTTTGCACTGTGCACACTGAAACCTGGTACTAAGAAGTGCAGGAGTTTTTGATCCGTACAAGCCAATGTCTCTCCCTACAACCCAACGGCTAGTTGAGGACTGCGCAACGGCTTCTCAGCTGTCCTTTTGCATCATTCCGGGATCGAAGCTTGGCGGGTCCAGCGCTTCATCGATCACATTTGATTGATGTTTCATAACAAGAGAATGTTTCCAGCATGGTGTCTCTATGTGTCTCTCAAATATTCTCAACTTATGTAAATACAGCTTTATTTATAATGTACGATATAATATATATATATTATCCATTATTTTGTTCATATAATTAGTTGCACCTAAACACTGAGGAAGGAAGATGATGATCGACCTCTTTGTTTGTCTTTGAGCCCCAATGGCTCCGCTTGTGCTGTGGGTTGCGACACCGGGAAGCTCTGGGTCTTGGCGCTGGATGGAGACTCGGCGGAGTGGACAAGTCCAAAGGCCCAGGAAGCTGTAGAGCTTTCATGGTTCATAGAATTGTCCATCCTCTTTCATGGTCGTTCCACGGATTTTTCCATGGTTTTTTCACCATGAGTTTGGGATTCTTGGGTCATGCCCAGGGCCATGCCCTGTTGGTTCTCTTGAACTGGCACAGATTTGACTCCTCAGTGGATGAAACCATTTGAGTTCGGTCGGTTCTCACGGGTGTCCTCTGGATTTGGATGTCCATCGCAGCTCATCAAATCCATACTGTTTGCCGTAGAAACACCTGATTTTGGCGGAGTCTTTTTCTGCAGATGTCCATCCGGATGTCCATTCAGATTTCTCACAACTCTTGGTGACTGTAGACACGCTTTTCCGGATCCGGTCCGGTCGTCGTCTTGGATCTCAGAGTCGGATCGAACGGACTTGGGCAGGGTAGGGCGACTGGGCGAAGAAGACTGGACGAAGAAGACAGGACTGGCCAGCCTGACTCCCATAATTCCTGATGACTCAGACCAGATTCCCATACAACGCATTCTCCTCCTGAACATGGTTGCGCTGGTTGGATGTGTTCAAGAAATTTGTGGAATGATGTTCCTCAAGAAAGGTGGGTTGCGTTCATCCTTCAGGTCGTGGAGGGAGGTTGAAAGTCGAGGAATCACGGACATTGCTTGCCTATGCTTCCGGCAGTCCATGGTTTTGCTGGTTTCTTCGCCGAAACCGAACGAGGAACCGCTGTTTGGGAGACCGAAGCCCACAGCGAGCGCATTCATTGCTGTGAGTGGTTGGAGGATGATTCCATTGCCACCGGAAGCGAGGACTCGTTTGTGTTCGCTTTGGTTTGCTCTAAGACCCTAAGCCTTAGCCCCTTCGGTTACCAAATCCCGCCCTAGAGGTCCACTGTGGGCGTGTAAAATGAACGCATGGGGGTGAGCCCCCGCACGTTTCCCTGATGCGTTGTTGGTTGTTTCCAACGTGTGTCCATTGAAGCGAATCCTTTACACCTATCCTCGCCTCAGCTCCAAAATCGTTCTGTTTCCACGTTCTAAACGCTGCAGGATGGCAGCGTTTGTTGCTGGTCTTTGGAGCTCCGCGCCTGTCGCGCGCAGTGTCGACCGTACGAGGGCAACGGGCCCGTCCGCTGCTTCGCCTGGACCCACGACCGAGAGCGGGTCTTGTGCGGAGGACGGAGGTCTGGCGGAGGTCTGGGCAGCCACCGGGCAGGGAGGCCGAATGCTGAGGTCTGGAAATCGTCACGATCCTTTTGAGAAACCTTTTAGGTCCAGCAAAGTGCTCAAAAAGGAGGACGGGTACAGAATGGACCAAAACGGCACCGAATTGAACGAATGAATGATCTTTCCAGTACACCGGAGGCGAGTCCAGATTCAGCTGGCAGGGCAGTCCCAGTCCCCGTTTGTATCTTGGTTTCAGAGAGCGAGACCAAACACCAAGTGGGTGTTAAAATAGGGAGATCTTTCAAGATGTCTTGAACAGCAATCAGCAAGGCTTTCTACAAAACCCAAGATTTCGGGGCATTGGGGCAGTGGGGCATGGTGACCTCGGAACATTCAGGAGACTATCAGCATCCTCGGCTCGTGCACCTGGCCGGTCCCGGCGAAGATGGCTACATGGCCATGGAGTACCAAGATGTGTTGCGACAGGCGACCGACCGACTGACCGGTGTCAGAGGTCAGGAGGGGCGAGGCTGCGGGCCTCTCAAGACAGAGAAACATGTGATCAAGGCCAGGTTTGAGATCTCTGATGGAGACGTCGCAGTAGAGGGAAGTTCAATCCGCGGACTGCAAGACCTTGCAGGAGTTGTAGAGAAGAGGAACTTTTGGGGGATTTGGTGTGCAAAAGCCTGTGATGGTGGTGATTGTGTACTTCTTTTTTTCAGACACCTACCAACTCGCAGCTCAGATTGTTTGTTAAAGGCTTACCGTTGAACCTGGGCGTGTCACTTTTGTTTATGGAAGTCGGAGTGCATGTCAAGAATCAGAAGCTGACCCCTAACTGACCACTGTCAAGTGATTTGCAATAAGTGATTTTGGGTGATCCAAGATGATCGATCTCTCCGACTTCCACCAGCTCAGAGGTTTGGAAAAACTTGCACGACTAGCCAGTGCCAGGGGAAGAAACTGGCCTGCCACCCACCATGCCCCAAGACAGCTTTGGTCAGCATCTGCGGAGAAATCGTGCTTGGACCGATCCCATGAGAGTCGCTGTTGATGATCGCTGTTGATGATAGCTTTGAGCATCACGAATTGCATACTATATGATTCCCAGCTACGAAAGATGGATTCATACGGATTCATCGATTGATCTGGACTCTTCACCCCCCAAACCACTTTCCTCTCCAAATCCGCCAGGAGTTGACGGTCAGCACCTCCTGCAGCCTTGCCCTCAGCTCGGACGACCGACGAGCGGTCACCTGCAGCTGGGACAAGGCACCGGGGTCTGTCACGGATCGTGGTTGATGTACTAGGCCTCCAAGTACCTTCTGAGAAGGTGTTTGGGTTGGGTTTGGAGGGTCCAAATACCTTCTGAGGAGGTACTTGGAGGTGTAGGATGATTCTTTGGAAGGCCAAATTCACTTAAATCAAGATGTGTAAGTACCCCGGCGGGTGATTTACTTCTTCATGGTAAGTGGTACTGTAGTGATGGTAAGTAAAGAGATACACCTTGAAGTGGAAGACTTACAGGATCCACAGGTATTGCCGTCAAAGATGCCCAAAAGTATGTGAGTTCTTGATGCGTTTTGACGGATAGGGACACAACTTGGAGGGAGTTTGGTGGACTAGCGAATCAAATCGGTGGCTTTGTCCGTAGTGCAAGTTGCCGGGCTTCTCCCATCTTCTCCCAATTGGCAGAAACTATCAAATGCAGAAAGTAATGGAGTTCAGGACAAAATTCAATCTTAGGAACCACTCGCGCACTGGTGGAACCTTTGTCACAACTTGGACTGGGTTCCGGATGTTCATTTTCGCTGTTGGAAGAAAGGCACTGGCGTCAGGGACAACCTACCGCAGGCCCCCTGTGAAAGGTGAAGTCTTGATCCCCAAAACCCCCATTTTCGGAGTTCTAAGACGCGCGACGCGGCCGAGTCACAGTCTCCAGGTTGTAAAACGCCACGGCCAGAGGTCGGCGGTGGGTTTTGGAGGTCTTATGACATCAGTGACGATCCATGCAGCTCGATGTTCTTGGAAATGTGTTCCAAAAACATCCAAAAACAAGGGCGGAAGACACCAGGCCTTGCGTCTCTTCGACGTGGACACTGGACAGCTGCTGCTGGTGGTCACCCAGGCGGATCGCAGGGCTAGTTCTCGGTGGATGGGTGGTTGGAGTTGCAAGCGGAAGGGTTCAAGGCCATACTGCCATTCAAGCAGAGGAGCCCCTGGCTTCCATGTCATACACGCAGTTTCCTCTGATCAGCTGACATGCTTTCCGCATGAAAATCCCGTGGATACTCCCTTTTTGCCACCGGTGTTCATCTTAGGTCTCCGATTGGGTCGTCAAGGGCTTCGGTGCAACTTTGGCAGGCAGGAGTGGGCCAGCGGTGTGCCATTGGGATCGGAGGGTATCGTGGCGGAATGTGTGATTTTTCGCATGTGGTGCGGGAAGAAGCTTTACTGCAACCATTGGCGCATCGTGGTGCGAATTGGAGGGAGCTAAGCTGGGCATATCATGGGATTGTCGTGGATTTTCACTGATTCTCATATTCCCCATGAAACAGACACAGTTTTCTGCCAATTAATGGGTTGGGGGCTAGGTGAAAGCGACAGGGGGAGTGGGCAGGATCCACAGTGAAGCGGGAAACAAGATCCGATGAAGAAAACCACTGATGCGACTCCCTGCCGGTTCAGCAAAGTTGATTGGCCCAGTCCTTGCTTCAGGGGACTTGCGACTTGCCCTGGAAAAAACTGGTTCCCCCTGCCCTCAGGTTCTCAGACCGACCCATTGTTTTGGCTTAATGATTCCGCGGAGTTCCCTTGCCCTTGCCTATTTTCTATTGACAAAAGGGTGACCATCTAGTCACCCCATCTAGTCACCATACATCATGACCCAGACACGACCCGTCTGGGACTGCCAGGACGGACTGCCGAGAAACGGCCAGGGGTGGTTGACTGGGGGTCAATGGGGCGGCATATATTCCATACATGGAGTGTCTGGGTTATCTTGGATTCTTAGGCTTCAACCAACAACTTCACTCTTGATTTTATTCCCGATCACTGATAAGCCAGGGTTCAAACCAGAAGCACTCGAGGACTACCCACTCAATCCTACTAAAGTCTAAGATACCCAAACTCCATTGCTCTTGATCTGGATGCATTGGCCATTCGTTTCAACCCATGTCCGCCCATGTCCACGTCCCGCACCCACCGGGCCACCCTGCGGAGCCGAAACAGGTGATTCCGCAGGGCTTTGTGTCTGGAACCTCAGGTCGAAGCCGGGGCAAGCCCCGGCACCGGGGCATTCAGGGGGAGAGCCGGCCTGGTGGGCTTTTGGGGAAAGGAGGAAAGAACCAGATCATGCAGATTTGGAGTATTTGGCTTCCCCCCCCCCCCCCCCCCCCCCCCCCCCCTCTTGTGTTGTTGTTAAGTACAGTACACTCCCTGGGCCATACTCATGGTGACGTGGAGAACGCATGGTAGCTCCGAATTCGTAAAACAGGTAGCGCCATCCACTTGCGCTTCCATGATGATTTCACTGAGTGTGTTTGTTTTTGGGATACAGGTAATTGAGTGTTCTTCCTTCCCTCTTTCAATGCCCTTTTTGCAGGCCCGCAGTCGTGAAGAAAACGGCCAAAAGCGAGGTCAGCTATGCCTGGGATCAACAGTTGCAGCTCTGGGATTTGGGGCTCAGCCTCTTGGTGCTTTGAGGGCTTAGCAGGTGGGCAGGTGTTTGCACCAGCAGACATGAAGACATGTGAACTTCGTAGCAGTTAATCTATAATAGAATACATGTGAAGTTTTCTACAGCGCTTGGTTGACCAATTCCAAGCATAGCATAGTGATGAAAGATGTCGAAACATGCCTGTTGGGTGGTGGTGCACTGGTGGTGCTAGCTGCTAGTCGGCAGTCTTGACTCATCACTCACTCTCTCTCTCTCTCTCTCTGACTGACTGACTGACTGACGGACTGATTGACTGACTGACTGACTGGACTGGACTGGACTGGACTGGACTGGACTGGTTCACCTACGTATTACCATCCTTGATAACCTTGAGCAAGGCCAACAGCGTCAGCTTTGAGGATACTCTACCAGGGTGTTCAATTCTTGTAGGCTCTTCCAGACCCAGACTTGTTGGGACCCCAACAGAGAGCTTCTGACTTGTTTAGATATGAGTCACGTGTTCGCCCTGGTCCAGTCCACCATTGTCGCACTCCGTCCGTCCACCCGGTCCCTTGACCGGTGATGCCAGTCCACCCGCCTGACGGCCCAGGTGCCCGTGGGTCTGGATGCCGTGTGGTGGAGGCCAAAGATGCACCTGAGAGGCTGTGTGCCTGCCAGTGCGGCTTGGAGGAACGGAGCTCTGAACGGAGGTCTTCGGAGCTGCGGAGGTGGACCTGGTGTCTGAATCGAGGTGTCTGGACCCTCGGAAAGGTGTGATGGAAGATGAAGGCATCCAATAAAACCTCATGTGTTTCCTATTGTTTTTGATCGATGGACACCATATTATATATATACTTCAACATGACTATTATGCTTAATTAACTATAGGATACTATAGGCATGGCCTTCTAAGTGACTTGAGGCTGCGATTCCAGGTGGTGTGTCCTTCAAAGACCGGGCGGCCCAATTCAGCATGATCCCTCGCAAGGTCCTTGATGCCTTGATGCCTTTGGGCATGAATGTTTTCTCATGTCTACTAGAGGGGAATTTAGGGGTACGGGCGGAGTTTCCAGCCATGCTGTTGGAATTTACACGACGAGGCCACCACCTCGATTTGGCCTAGCAACAGCCAGAGTCGCTACTCTTCACCAACAGCTAAGAATATGATCATCCAATGGCTAGCTGGCAAGCTGCGGATTCACAGCTCGGAAGCAAGTTGATGGAAGGTGCGGATTTTGCCGACACAATCTGTCACCACTCATGTAGAATCCCTCATTTGTTATGTAATATGTTGTACTCGTAAATAGACTAGCAGACAAGGATCCAATTGATCGGTTCGTCCTTTTTTTCCTAAGGTCACTCCGCCTGTTGATTGAATCGATGACCACCTGGAATTCCTGCAACATTTTGCAAAAACTCCTGGGACACCTAGAAACCACATGTTAAAGACCTTTAAAGGTGTTGATTTGTCTCCAGACCTTTTAAAGGGATTCATCCGGTGTCCCTGTGGAACCTTTTGTTTCGACATCGTCGACGCCAAGGCGATGCCTCTCTAGTGCGCATGGCTTGTGCTCCCCGCTGGACTGAGGGCGTGAGGCCGGCGAAGGAGGGTGGCGAAGAAAAGGGTCCAACCGCTGGTGGTTCTGGAGATCTATATAGTCTATACCCTACTGCTCCAGTCGTACCTCCTCAGGTTCGGTATGACTGGACCCTCCTGGCGCCCATCCCAAACACCTTCGAAACGAAGGTACGACTGGAGCCCTAGGAATAGTTAACTATAGTTTAACATAGAGGTCGCTACAGGGCGACACTGGCAATCACTCCATGCCCTGCACCCAGCGTCTTTCATGTGAACAGGTGCTTTGCCTTGACAGGTTGTGTGTGTTTTGTTTTTTTTGGGAACAGAAGCACAAGTGTGGTTGGTTTTGGTTGGTTTTAACTTTCATCATCATTCGATGTATATACTAAGATAGAGGAGACTGGGGAGACCTCCCAAAGACCTCCGCCAGAAGAGGGGCAATACTTGGGCCAAAACCATCCAAAACCCATGAGGTTGGGGGTTCCCCTATTAAAAGAACTTAAAATACACACCCATGATGGCCTCATCACGATTTGAAGGGGAAGATGACTCACCACACTACCAGCAGGTCAGGGAGGCTCCCAGACTGCTGCCTGCAGCATTGTCGCCCAAAGCCGGTTGGGAATTGGCTGGGTGATCTTGAGGCGTGTGTGATACATCCTACTGGCCTTTACGGATGTGTCAATTGACCAGCATTGGATATGTGGTGGAATATGATGGGTTTGGAGATGGGCATATGTCGGACGTAGGACCCTCAAACCTATCTACAAAATTATTCAGCAGGTCCAACCCTATGCGAGCTTGATAAACAGTACATGCATGGGCAAGGTTCCATTGAATCTCCTGGCAGAAGAATACACAAGCACAGACCTGTCTGATGTTGTTTAAGTATGTTTGTCCCGTTTGTAAATCGCCATTGCAGGAAACTTATGTGAACAATGTTTGCGCCTATTCAGCAAAGATTTTGGAAGAATTGATCCATGTGGCTTCCAGATCGGCATCCAGGCGTTCCTTAGCCTTCTCCGACGAGGAGGGCGCAGTGCACTTCTTCAAGGCCACAACAAATCCACGTTGATCCGAACATGTCCAGAAGTGTGGATGCACAGAATACAGTTTATGTGTTTCTTTCGGGCACCCAGCGGCAGAAGTGGCTTTGGTTTGCTTCGGACGTTAGTCACCAAACTGCCGCCATCCAACTGGCCGTGCAGGTCGAACTTGTACCACCCGCGAGCGGTGAGTGACTGTGCTGGCGCGCAGCGGTGCGTCGTGCAATTGCTGCCAGCGGCGAGCGCGACGTGCCGACAGCACAAAGCTGAAGGCAAAGGCAATGGCGAGGAACAATGTGATGGGCAGTGATGGTGGAGAAAAGGTATGCGATTTCGCATGCGCCAGTCAGCAAGGTAGAATCAGTGCAAAGATGTGGAAAGTAACTGGTTGCGACACTGGTTCCCCTCGTGCGACTGGTGAAAAGGGGAGGGGGATAAGAGTAGATTGGAGACTTGATTTGTTTGAAAAGAAGAACACATATGTGTTTTTGTTGGGTAGCAGTATATATGTTAGCAAACCCTCCGCCATCCGACATCTTCCAACATATGTTATTTCCCGTTATTTTCTACTCCTCCAAGCAATGATACGACCTTCTGAAGATGCCTGATATGCTGACTACCTTGCCTTGATGGTTGGTTCCCAGAGAAGAGTTATGTTCATCACTCCCAGACCAGTGCACTGTTTTTGTTGTTTCCATGTCTGTGGCATGGACTAAGAGCCCAAAATGAACTGAGCGAAAAACCGGTCACCAGGCACCTTGGAGGTTTCAGTGTAGACAATTGTAGAAGCAGATAATGGAATCTCGTTGCAGCGCAGCGATTAATGATTGGTATTTTTGGCGATTGGGTGGTCCTGAACGTGAAAACTTGTGGCAAATACTGATTGGTTCAAGATCGACAATGAACATTTGTTCGAACCCAGATAGCTACTTGCAGCTTATATATCGCATCGATGTTGCACGGAATCCACTCAGAACCAAGCGTTTTGGCCATTTTTTGGACTGTTCAGTTCTGGCACTTGTCGCCTCCAACCGTCTCCACTCTGTTCGCGAAAATCACGGGTTCAGGCGGTTCAGGCGGTTCCGCTGGCTCCAGCTGTTTGCCGGCTCGCCCCCGTGTGACCGGTCGGCCGCCTCATGAGGCGGAGTCAGGGGACGAATCGGGTGGCCGTGTTGGTGGTTTTTTTGGTCGTTTCTGTTTGAATTGCCCCTGAGATGGTGAAAGATTGGTTAAGAAGTGGAACGGAACGCGACGTCTGGTCCTTTTGCGCCTGAGAGGGGTGTAATTCGTGATTTCAGAGTCGACTCCATATAGAATATCAAGGTGCCAGTATAAGTTGTGAGGTTTTGAGTTTTGACCACGGTTTCTGTGAGAGATGGTCAGAAGGTTGTCACTTGACTTTTCTTAGAGACTGGACTGACATGGGGACATAATATAGCATATATAGATAGCTATAGTCGTACTCAATGTGTATCGGATACATAATTACTCTAGTTGGAATTCAGTAGACTCTTGATGAATAAATACACCACCATTTGGCTTGTAAAACCTCTGTAGGCTTGGGGTGATTAGTTAAAATCAAGAGCCAAGAGTCTACATAACCTGAAGGTCCGGACTGCACTGCCAGGTGTGGGCCACAGAAAGGCAGGCTGTGGCAGATTTTTACCGCTTGAGTCGAAGGTGAAAGTGATTGGTTTCTAACAGCTGTTTGGATGTTATTTGGATATATTTGGATGCGTTCAAGGTCTAACAGCTGTTTGGATAAATTTGGGTTATATTTTTCCAAGGGGACAAGGGCCAGGTTTTCAGACAGGTTTTTGCACTTGGCCTTTTTCAATCTCTTTAAGCTGGTTGGGTAAAGCCCACATCATCCTCAAAACGCTATATTACAACAAATAAGGTTGCCAATACTGTTGTCTTTGTTCCGAACGGCTTCCAGCAGGTAGAGTGGAGTGTGAGATAGTGTGAGTATACATATCATGAGGATGGTTCATGAGAGAATTTGAGGGATGTCCAATCTGGAGCCACTTCCTATGTTGAGCCTTTTGGATTTTGTCAATCTTGTCCTTTTGCCTTGCTGTGTTGCACAACGATTCGGTAACCCATTGAGTTTTTGCTTCAGTGCAAACACGAGCAGGACCTGTCGGCCTGTCAGTTGGATTGCGTGATTCAAAGTTTTTGAATTGCTGGGGCTCCAAGTACCTTCTGAGAAGATGTTTGGGATGAGTTCACAGGATCCAAATACCTTCTGAGGAGGTACTTGGAGCAGTAGGGAATGTGTTTTCCTGTTTTCCTCGAATCTCTTCAACCAAAGAGGCACTAGGGAAGGTTCTTCCTCCCAAGTTATGGCTTCCCTGGGATGTGTGGCGACTGGAATCTAAGGATCAAATGGTAGATGGTGTGACTTGAGCGGCAGATGACTTGAGTTTCGCTGCTGATCTGGCTGAGGTGGATTTGCCACAATCAACAAGCACAACGATGAAATCAAAAGAAGACAAACACATGTTCTTCAGGCAGGATCCAGACTTGGGACTTCCAAACAATTACTGAAAGAATACATAGTATCGTTTGTCACACATGAAGGCTGCATGGACGCTCCGTACATCTTGTAATATATGTTTTCCTCATCAGCATACTGTGCAGCTCGTGGGCCTCTGGATGTCATGCGGACATCAGAAGCTGCCACTTCAACACAGCAAGTTCCTGTGTCTTCTGGGTCTACCAGTGAGGGCCAGCTTTGCCCCCTGTTCGACTAACAGAGTAAAGCAACCGTAGATGGTGAAAATCCAATGAGTTGGGTGGAGCCTACTCATATCATATACTAATACCTAGAATATATAACTACAATCTGCACATATTTGCATAGAACTCCCTCTCGCAGAACCCTGGCCCTCCGCCATGAGCAAGCAGCGCAGTGGCCAAGTGCATGATGATCACGGCTGGAGGCCGGCCGTGCCGCTGATCCGGGGGGTGTGCTGATCGCGAATCCGATCCCATCCAAGTTCCTTCGCGGTGGCATCAGTGACACCGAACCATTTCAGACGATCCAGCAGAAGGAGGCTCTGGACCTTCAGACCTGGCAGGTGCTTCAGACCTTGCAGAGTCCTTCCTTCCTTATATGTAGAGCCCTGTTTTTTTCTCTTGCGTGTCGTGTCGTCCTCGCTTTTGGTCACGGCTCATATGGCAAAACAACATCATGTGTTGCTTTTCGTAGTTTGAAATCACTCAAAATCGGTCCATCGAGGGGAACGACGTCCACTGGTTACATTAGAGCTCTTAGCTCGTGGGTTGGCCCGGTCGTCGCTCGATGGGTCGGACGTCTGGACGTCACTTCACCTATCCGATCGTCGCGCAGGTCGTTGCTCCAGAGTGCTTTAGAAGACACGTGGTGTCCCAGCTTGGAGGCGATGCCAGACAGGGAGACGAAGAAATCGAAGCCACGGGCCATCAAGAGAAAAGCTGGAAACACATACCCCTTGAATATGTCACTATAACATGCAGTTTCCAACCCCATTTGATAAAATCCTGAAAAAAGAAACAAGTGTCCATGGCAAGTGGATAAGCTCCCCGTGTGTAGGCCACTAAGTCCAAGTTGAAAAGGATAGCCTTAGGGACCAACCGGATTTGGTGAAGGAAGACTGTGCGAGCCTTTCTTCTGAATGGTTCGTGCAACACGGCGGGTCTGTGTGAACCTTGCGAAGCCTTCTAGCTTGGATCATGAATCCCTGAATCTAGTTGGGACCGCAAGCTAACCGTGGTTTTTGGGTGAACCAATCGCCACGGTGGATGAGTCAGTCGGAGAGTCACTTGCAGCTTTGGTGAGAGGTCTCCAACTTCCTGTTGCAGGATATGCGTGGGAAAACAAGACATGCTTTCCAGCATGGATCCAGGGAAGAGAGTAATTCCTCATTAGAGCACGGCTATCCAGAAAAGTCCAAATGGTTTAGGGAAGTGAACTGATTTTATGTATAAGCAACATGAACCAACTATTGATGAAGTGGTCTTTGATCTGCGGACGGGTGACAGTACCTGGGAAGATGCAACTTTCGACCGACTCCTTGAAGCCTTGGAGGTTCTCCTTTGAGAGTGGTGCTTCTTAGCGTGTGGCCTCCTCCAACCCTCGCTCTCCGACCAGGAAGCGATTGGCAGGATCCCCCTCAGCGAGGCCGAGAGGCGCTGATCCCGTCGTGCGCGTGGCGAGACCGGTCGAGAGAGAGAGAGAGAGAACGCCGGCGACGGTGGATTGCTGCGCCCCAAAGTAACTCGCGACGGCGTTCGAGGTAGTTTTGGGCGAGGATGGTTTCGAGAAGGATGAGGTTGGCGGAAGGACGTCACGAAATGATTGTTCTCCCAAGGACTACCTAGCAGATTTTTTTCTTTGTGGAAGCACACTGCCGCTGCTTTTTTTCCAATCCGTCTCTAAATTGGCAGGCAGTGGATACTCTTGTTATTTTATGTTTTAAGTGTGCTTTCCAGTCAAATACCCTTATACGAGAATCTAAAGTTGAAGCAGGCATAACGGTGGGTGTACATTCAAAGATGGATTGGTACAAGTAGTTGCAATCCCAATGTGGTGAACACGTGTTGATGTGCAGAGTAATAATTGCCTTTCACTTGTTTATGGCATGTTAATAGCAATATAACACATATAGTACTAAATGATACTAAATCGTATACATGGCATGTAAGCGTTAATCGCACAGAGACTAAAGAAACAATGCCGACAATGCCTGAGACTGAAACATGAACTTCTTGGAGGTAGACCATTCCTCCCGGATGCATCCGGTACATCCTATCCGCTTTGTCCATGTCCTCTCGTCCTCTCTTTTTTCTGTTCGCTGACTGTGCAGGGAACTGATCTCTGATCAGCTCAATCACTTCAAGAAGAAGATCCTCTTGCAGGCGTCGATCCTCCGATTCACAAGCTTTGAGCGTGCAAAGCCAGTTGTTACCCCATAGACGGCCGGGTATGCTGCTCAGGTCCGGTATGCTGCGAACGGACCCAGGTCACCACCGTGTTCGCTAAGAGACCTGATGCCGTGGAATCGTCCCAAAGGCCCCTGATGCCGGTGGGTGCTGAAACGAGGGGGTTTAGGGTGATCTCTTTTACGGATCCTTGGGGTTTTCATCCGCTTCTGATTCTGTGAATTTCATGCTCTGTGTATGTTTGTGTGTGTTTTTTTCTGTTTTTTCCCCGGCCTCCTGAACGGCAAATCCGTGAGAAAGTGGCTGCTTTTATGAGACACTTTCAGGACTCCTTATAATATAGCTTTATCATAGTCACACTGAGCGAGCTGCAGCACCGTTTGTCCGTTTGCCTCACCCTTTTGCACAGTTCGTGCAACCCGACCCTGTTCTTTTGTCAAACCACCACCCGACCCCTCTTGTCAAACATATCAGCAGAAAGCCATAAAACATAATCAATTTCAAAAGCTTCAATTCTATGTTCAAAATAGCTTTGCAGGACAAACCATCAAACACAGACCTCATAAAACAACCTCGAACCCTCCGACCTTTACGATTGCTACTCTGGATGCAGACATCACGCCAAGGTGCTACGGAAAACGTCTTCGGCAGAGCTGCGATCTTACCACGAGGAGCAGCCAGAGGCCTTGGCCACAATCTTCAGCCCGGACGCTCAGGCCGACAAAAAGCCAAGCGGTGGTCGAGTGGTAGACATGGTAGACATTTCTCTAGAACTTATTGATTGATGTGAGTTTGGGTCGCCTCTGAGAGACAGGTCTAAAGTGGAGAGCTTCGGAAAGACGGACACCCAGCTTCGAAGCTCTATCGTGATCACCGTTGCAGATCAGAGAAGAGATGCTTTTAGTCCAATTGATCCACATCTCAAAAACCATTCCGCCACCGGGACTCGAACCCAGGTCGCTCGGGTGAGAGCCGAGTATCCCAGAGATGGAATGACGGAACCATTTGGAACCCACCACCCACCCTCATCCGTCCCGTCCCCGTCCCAGGCTTTCTCCTGGAGCAGCCCAGTTTGTTCGAGGTCGTGAGCCAGCAGTGCCCCACCGAACTGGGGAGGTACCGGAAGGTACGAGCTCGTACGAGCTCGCGGTCCAGTGATTCGGGGGATGAAATGAATCGGGTGGTTTGCCTGGAGATCCAATGAGCAGGATGGTTTGCAGGATTGTTGACCTGGAGATGCTTCATGGTTTGGGTTCAGTTGGGACTCTTTACCTTGGACTGCCACACATGTGTTTCTTTGAAGCCTATTGCATTTCCTTTCGGAATGCTATACAAGTTGAGCGTTGCGATCGTTGGGTAATGAAATCTGATGCGTTGACAGCGGTGTTTGCCTCACTGAAGCGTTGTGAGTTGCTTCCAAGGAAAGGGGGTCTTACATCTTACGTTCGGTTCCGAGTTCCGAGCTCCACAAATAGGGAACCAGCGGCTTGCTCAAAGTGGGAACCAGCGGCTTGCCCCGCCGAGGCTAGCGCTTTGCACAGAAACCATGCGTCGTAAAAACCAGCTTGGTGGAGTCCAGGTCTGTAGAATGCGATCATGATCCGCATTGTCTGGAAACTGCTGGAGGCCCAAAAACCATTTAAAAAAACTCACTTACTTCGTTTCTTCTGCACGAATTGCAGCTTGCCCGCTCTCAAACGCTCGCCATCCTGAGAGAGAGTCATGGGTTGATATATTATATATGTCGATATGGGTCCCATAAGCTGAACTGCTTGTTCCCGTTGCGTTTCCACAAGAGAAGCCATGTGGATACTAGGGCAGAACTGCCTGGAAGATCTATAGATATGTCGTGTGTAGACATTGGTTGTCGCTGATTCTCGAATCTATGGGTTCAGAGGTTGGGTATGTATCCAGAGCTGGCAGTTTTCTCCCCTCCGCTCCACGACCTCCACTGACCGCGACTCCCCTGATTTGCGGCAGATCGAGGTACCTCAACAATCCGGATGCACGGCAAGTGGAGAACGAGTTATCGGAGGGCATGACACAGGTAGGAGATCTAACCGTGCAACCAACGCCCTTCGCTCGGCCGGCCGTGGAACAGAACGAAGGGGTCCACGTCTACGAGCTCCGCAGCTCTGTGAAGCCTTAGAAGACCTTTAGGTGTAGGCTCTTGAGTCAACTACCCAGGAACAGTGGACAACCTTCTTACCTTATATTCATATTTGAACCTTTTTGAGGATTGGGAGACACCCCTCGAAACCAGAACAGGACGAATAAGCTTAAGGCTTCATGTTCCAAGGAAACTGCAACTGAGGGAGTCAGTTCATCAAACCCTTCAGATAGTAAAACTTATGCTTTTGTGGGGATCTTCACATGGTTGAAATCACTCGAATCAATGAGGTTTTATGAGAGTCTATGGTTTCTTCACAGCGTCACGTTTTCCTGCCTCTTCCAGGTCTCCAGGTCGGCTTAGCCTTAGAACAGCTCCCCCAACTGGGTCACCCTCGCATCGGCCGGGGTTCGGGTGGGTTGGGCCTGGCCTTCGACCCGTCGTTCCGCGAGCGCTTTGGACGCATGGACGTCACGCATTGGTTGATGTGTGACTTCCAGCGCAGAACTGGAGCAAGGCCGACGCCTTCTGCCTTCCAGTCCCCGGGTTCTTCAAAGTGTGTATGCCATACACCAGATTCACAACCGCTCTCAGGCCTAAGGCATTTGAGGCCAAGACATCCTCCAATTGCTGACGCATCACACCCATTCCACCGATACCAGCCCGCTACTATGTTGTAAAAATATGTAACATGCCATGAATCAAGTAAGTACTTGACACTTTGTTTCGCAACTCGCCGGGCTCTCGTCAGCACCTCCCCTCCTTGGGACCCCGTGTCGCTTCCAGATTCGCTTCATCCGCCTTGGCTCCGGAGGTCTTGCCTTATGTGAAGTTGCTGCTCAGGTCTTTGAGGCCAAAGATGGCAGGGAGACAAATTGTAGATTTTGTTTTGTATATACTGTATATAGATAAAAGATCCCTAGTGCTCCAAGTACCTCCTCAGAAGGTATTTGGACCCTCCGTGCCCATCCCAAACATCTTCTCAGAAAGTACTTGGAGCCCTAGCGATAGAAGATGAGATGAACAAAATTCTCGATTCCCAAAACATGACGGTTCCAAGATTATTTCTATGGGAGCTTTGGATGTGCCATCCTTTCCCCTGTCATTCTCTCCAGGATGACTCTGCATGTTGGCGTGTAACCTTAGGCGGGTCGGAACACCAAGCGTTGGCCATGGGGAAAAACATCCTCTTTTCCCTCTTCCAGCAAATGATCAAACACCATGAAACACCTGGTTCTTCAGTTCGTGCCCCAACTTGAAGATCGCAGGAAAAGAGACACACAAGACGCCTGTTGGGAGCAATTCCCCGGTCGGTCACGAACTGAAGGATTCGCGCCGATTCTTTGACCCATGCTGCCCCATTCTTTGACCCATAGGAGCCAGAGGAGAGCCGCTACCTCCCCATTGCAGTACAGATACAGAGGTGGAATGTTCCTTGCCGCCCCCAATCTTCTCAACCGACCTTTATTCTTGGTCTAGGACCCAAAAGGACTGACGCCAGCACATTCTGAATCGCTGCATATATAAGATTATATATATAAGGGGTTTTTGAGCTTTGGACAACTTGGATGTGTGTTTGTTTTGTTGTTTGGGAAAGACATTGTTGTTGATATTGAATTGTGTCTCCATTCTAACGGGCACATTCAACATTAACATGTTAACATCATGTTAAATTGTGTTAACGTGATGAAGATAAGCTTCTACTCGTACCACATTAAAAAAGTTGACTTGACTTGGAGCACGTGATCTTCATCTCTCCCAAACAGGCGCCAGCCGGCCGTTTGGCCGTTAGTGAACCGAACATCTCCGTTGGAAAGACGCCGGTGAGTTGCTGGTGAGGAAAGATGTGTTTCGTTATTTCTCTTGCTCCTAGAGATGGGAACTCATGAACAGTCTCACAGTTTTTCCCCCTCTCTTAATAGATAAAGATCGGCATATGTAACCATTCAAACGTGTTTATGCATTCGGGTTCGTGGGCTCCATCTTGTTTCATTTCATGGGTGTCACACACAAACGGCCAGGAGCCTTCCAGCAGAGTTTCACTACAAGGGCCAGGCGGGGAGCTGCCGGCTCGAGCGTCCGCGGAGCCCGGCTCGAGCGCCCGTGGGGCTGGGATTTGGTCATCGATCTTGATCAGCAGCATCTTACCATGAATCGCATGGATGATGCCAAGAAGCTTTGGGTGTAGGTGAGTACAGTATGCTTTGTTTTTTTCTTGCACATGTTTGTCCCCAATGAGGTGTACATGCGGTCGGGAGCTATGCAACACCTTAATGGAGGTTTCAGTTGTGGTACAAATGTGGCGACCCTGCACCACTGGATTGTTACAGTTGTCAAGTGCCTGCCCAAACCGGTTGGAGGATCTCATTCGAGTCCCCCCTTATCAAGGGTCCCCTCATTGTGAGACTGGGCTGCTGGGGGCTGGGCTCAAATTGAACAGAATGACTTGAGCAGGGAGATCCGAAGGTCTTTACGTTTGACTGCAGAGCCATGGCTCTGCGTTCCGTATGGGATGGAAAACCACTCCAGCCTCCCGCCGTTCCGCACAGGTCTTTCGCGTCTTAACAGATCGACATGATCATCTGGAGCGGCGCTTTCACCGTGGTCGTTACTTCTACAGGCGGGACATGGCGGGACTGAACCGCTTTTCGTCCGAGGGCTGTTGGGGCGGAGGTTTGCGCCGTGAGGCTACTCTGAGCGAGAGTGCGGGATGATGTTGCTATGAGGGCAATAGACTCGCAGCAGACCCGCAAAGATGTATGATCACTGATACCTTTTGGATGTCACATGTTTCATTATCGCATTCAGATGCTAATGTTCAATGTTTTTTGGTGTGGAGGCTCCGTTTTGTTTCACACATGTTGCGGGGGGTGGCTGAGTTCAACAAGCTCCATTCGGGACCCTTTATTGCTTCCATCTGCTGGTTCAAGGGTCCCAGGATTGAACAGTAATCCATGTGGGTCCAGGAGTCCATGCGTGGGTAGTGTTCAAGTGTGTTTATGTGTGTGTGTGTCCACCCCTGGACAAAGGGTCTTCCACCACCACTCTTTCCATGCTTTTCAACTACCTTGGACAACCACCTTATATAGGCAGGGGAGTGGAGCAGGCCTGCAGAGCTCCACTTAACAAAGCTCTCTGCAGTGCCCTGAGGATATCGGCCAGGACGCTGGCCGACGTACCTGCTCGTTCTTTCACAAGCTGTGACTCCACTTTTCCACTTTTTGATTCATGGTCCTTCATGTTTCCACCCCCAAACCTCAGTTTTGCAGCTGATTTGAGCCGTCAGTTCACCACCGCCGATATGCAGCCGAGTCAAGCGAAACAATCGATTTTCAAACACTTCCAAGTTGTCGGACTTTTCGCCATGCTGTTCTATCGCCTTCCTTCCCAACGTGGCAATTGCGTTAACTGAAAACCCAAGTTCGAAGCGTGTCTCGCTCAGCCGTCCCACTCGGGTGCTGAGTGTGATCCCCGTCACAGGGGCGCCGATCTTGCATGGGAAAGCAACCACCCCAACGCACCACCACTCACTGGACTCTCACAGGAAGGCACCGACACCCTCACCGAATCAACTGACATACCGGCCGCCGGGCCTAAAAACGGTTCTTGAAGAATACATCAGATTTCAGCTTTCAGATTTCGGATCCGTCATGTTCACTTCTCCAAGTCATGGCTGTTTTTCCACGAGCCTGAACATACTTGACGGCTAAGTATTCACATGCCTGCGCTGCTAAGTATTCACAGGCCGGATGAATTCATCATGCACACCCCCCCCCCTCCCTACCCCCAGGCCTCTGTTGCTATCCCACCCGC